TGCCGGGGGCCGCAGCCCCCCCCCGCAGTCGCCTCTCGGCCAGCGAGGCTGCCCCGGTCACAGGAAACGGGAAAAGCAGGAGCGGGGGGGGAACCCGTAAAAGGCCTGAAACGGAGAGGGCCCCGGCCCCGGCCCCCTTACCCCGGTCTTTGCAGAAACTCAGATTTCTCAAAGGTCCTCTAGTCACTTCTCCAAAATCATCAAAAAACCCCCAAACTGGCTCTTCCTGATACAGCTCAGACAGAAATCTGTCGTCTTCGGTTCCTAACAATATTTTTATAGCCGCTACAAATACCCAGCCATTGTGCAGTCCTCGGGTGCCTGCTGAGCCCCCTGGAGCGGAGGCTGGCGGGGGGATGAAAGGGGTTTGGGGGGGGCTCGGGGGGCGCCGGGTACAGCTGCCGCAGCGGTGCGTGTGCTGCTGTTTGCGGGCAGCGAGGCCGAGGAGCCGGTTAGCGCGGCGCGAAGGGGAATTTTCTGCTAGGGAGAAGGGAGGAGAGGGTCGGTCCCAGCCCACGGCCCCCGCTCGCCCTCCCAGCCCTGCGTTTGCTTGGCGAGAACCGAGGGCAGGGGCGGCCTCTGCCCTGGCCCCAGCTGCCGCCACGCTCCCACACCGGACGCCCGACTCGGCCGCTGGCCGGCAGCGTACCCAGACACGGCCCCAGAGTGGTTATCACATACCAGAAGGACTTGTTCATAACTTCTATGCTTTATAGCCACAGCGTTGTATGAAGTGTAACGTAAGCAGCGGCGCAGCTCCGGGCACGACGGGTGCTTTAAAGAAGACACAGGTCCCCAGAAGGCCCTCACGAACAGCACTGAGCGGGGCCGGTGTGGACAGCACGCTGGTGGGACCACAGACTTCACGATGCCGCTGGGCTTTGGGCAATGCCCCAGGACTGTGTCATGTCAAGGCTTTTCCTCAGAGGTTCCCCCCTTCCCCGGAGGGAGATCAGAGCAGGCAGAGGGGCAACTGTGAGTTACAGAAGCATTTGGTGGCTCTCTTCTTTCCATTGCTTTCTTCACCCAGCAGTTTTGACATCCTGGTAGCCTTTCCCATCATCCATAGGATATATACAGCCCACCTCTATAGGGCAGGTGGAAGGTTTGAGCTGCTGGAGGGCTGCACCTGGCTCAGCTACAGACTGACCCCTCCACGATGGATGATGCTGACCGAACTTTTTGCTGGGACGTTTATTTTCTGAATGGCATGGATCTGATGCTACAGCACAGACTTTTGTGCTCACGGAGTGGATAAAACACAAACTCATCTGGTGTGGGTCTTGTCTGGTAGCGCTCTGTTTAAAAAAGGGAACAAACCAGTGCGAAAGGGTGAAGGAGCTAAATGTGTAAGCAATCTTTATATCCCTTATCAAAAGGATTTCTGTACTCCTCCCAGATTTTCTACAGGGATATTAACAGCCAAGCTGCCTCTACAGAAAAGCTTATAAGCCCCTTCCAGCCCCAACGTGAAGGGTAACAACCACAG